AAACTAAAATGAATTAAAATTAAACTCTAAACTAAACTAAATTAAATCGAACTAAATGAAATTTAACTAAACTAAACTCCTAATATCGTAACTCCCTGGGCAGGAAAACAAAACCATTCCACTTATTTATTGGCCTAATATTTACAAAATGGATCGACAGGACAATTGCACTTCGCCTGAAGGAGCTGCTGCGTCTTTTTGCTATTCTCAAAGTTTTTTTTATTCTCTGCAGCGGAGCGAGGCTTCCCAGGTCTTTGAAAGGCGGGCTGGATGGAAATGGAATGAAAATACATTTTTTCCCTACTGTTTCTACACTTCAGAGAAACAGAATTAACACATGTTGGGCAGTATCCGCCTTGGGTTCCGGAGCGAAAGCCATTTAAGAAACCGCTCGCGTAAAGAGGCTGTAAAATATTCCCAGGCGCATTTGAAGCAACGTGAAATTCGAGAAATGTTTTGCATCTCCCTGAGACGGTCTGGAGGCTAAATCCCAGGAGGATCGGTTGTGGGAATTGGGCATGTCTAGTTCTCAGGAAAGGAAGGACCGAGGGGGTGACAGGACAGCATCTTCCAATGTTTGAGGGGTTGCCCCAAAGAAGACTTGGAGGTCAAGCATCAGAAGGAAAGACAAGAAAAAAGGGACGGAAGCGCCTGAAGGAGAGGAGAAACCTGGAATTAAAGAGAAACCTCCGAACAGTGAGAACAATGAACCAGTGGAACTGCCTGCCACCAGAAGTCGTGGGTGCTCCAACACTGGAGGCTTTTTTCATTTGCCTGAAGTGGTGTAAGGTTTCCTGCCTAAGCCAGGGGTTGGACTAGAAGACCTCCAAGGTCCCTTCCAACTCTGTTATTCTATTCTATTCTATAGAAGAAAGGAAGGGAGGGAGGAAGGAAGGGAGGGAGGGAGAGAGGAAGGAAGGAAGATGAGAAAGACAAAGAGGAGAGGGGAAGGAAGGGAGGAAAGGAAGGAAGGAAGGAAGGAAAAAAAAGGAAAGAAGGTTGGAAACTAATCCGAGAGACGTCCCGTCCAATTCTATGATTCTATAACAGAATCACGGTGTTGGAAGGGTCCTTGGAGGTCCTCTAGCCCAACCCCCTGCTCAAGCAGCCGCCCCTGCCTAGACCCCTTTCAGACAAACGGTTCTTCTTCAACCCCTCCCAGCGTTGGAGCTGTCACCACCTGGAAGGCAAGGTCTTGGGCAGGGGGTTGGGCTAGACGACCTCGGGGGTCTCTTCCAGCCCTAGAATTGAATGATTCAATGCCCAGGAGACGGAGATGCCCCCCCCCACATACTTCCAAGGTTACCCTTCACCCCCCGATGCTTCCGGGGACCAGGTCCAGAGGGGAGGGCAGTGCCCGGGCACCCTGGGAAAAATTCGTGAGCCCCCCCCAATCCCCCCCCAGGGCCTGCCCCCCCTGTCCCGGATGGGCACTTACCCTCTCGTGCACCTGGCGCTTCCAAGGGCAGCAGCATCGGGTGGGGGCTTCGGAAGGAGGCCCTTTTATAGCCCCCGCAGCCGGGCAGCCTATCTCCACGGCCCTCCTGCTTGGCCCCTCTCCAAACCCCCCCCCCCCTTTCAGACAGCCAGGAATCTCAAGGGCTCCCAGGACACCCAGGTGGGGCTGAGATAAGGCGGCTCCGGGCCAAGCGGGGGGCCCTCCCTCCCTCTCTCTCCTTCGGGGGAGGGTGGCTTCTGGTGTCCCCCCCCCCGCTGCAGCTCACCGGCTCAGCTGGTCTTTCTCTTTGGGGACCCCCCCCCCGCTCCTTCAGAAATGGTGGGTAGCTCCGTCACTGGAGGTCTCTAAGAAGAGGCTGGGCAGTCGCTTACCTGAAATAAGTGTAGGATCTCCTGCCTGGGCAGGGGGCTGGACTAGAGGACCTCCAAGGTCCCTTCCAGCTCCTATTCTGTTCTATTTCTATTCTTTTCTATCCCCATTTTCTTTTCTATTCTGTTCCTATATTGTATTTTATTCTTATTCTTATTCTTATTGTTATTGTTATTCTTACTCCTGTTCTATTCTATTCTATTCTATTCTATTCTATTCTATTCTATTCTATTCTATTCTATTCTATTCTATTCTATTCTATTCTCCAATATTCTATTCTATTCCCATTCCTACTCTACTCTACTCTACTCTACTCTACTCTACTCTACTCTACTCTATTCCCATTTTCTATTCTATTCTATTCCTATTTTCAGAAATGGAGGCCGGGGGTCCTTTGGGGCCACCGGGGTCTCCCAACGCCTCTGCCCAGGGGTTTTGGAAAGAGGGAGGCACTGCGGGGCCCCTGGTGCTCTCTGTGCCGGGTGCGTTTTCTTGCAGACGTTTCATGACCCAGCTAGGGAACATCATCAGTGCTGGAAGGGAGGGAGGGAGGAGGAGGAGGAGGAGGAGGAGGAGGAGAAGGAAGAGAAGGAGGAGGGGGTGAGGAGGAAGGACTGTGGGGTCCTTGGTGCTCTCTGAGCCTGCTGGTTTCCTTGCAGACGTTTCATGACCCAGCTAGGTAACGCCACCAGTGTTAAGTCTTTTCATTCCGCCTGTGTTGTAGGGACGAGGCAGACACTGGAAGCCGGGCCAGGTGCCGAGCGTCCCAGTGAAGGAAACGTCTTCGCTTTGGGCCATTTGCCTGGGGGGGGGGGCGGCTGGGGGGGGGAGAGAGACCAGGGGTGGGGCTGGTTAGAGAACTCTGATGGGGAAACCAAGTCAGGTGACTCTCCCCAGGGTATGTGCGTGTGTGTGCGCGTGTGTGTATTTGTCTGCCCAGCCTGTAAGGTGCTGATAAAAGACCAGCCGGATCATCCTCCCCATATCTCCCTCCTTATCAGGGACCTGGCCCAGGCAGGCAGGAGGGCAGGGAGGCCTCGGACTACACAGCCAATCCTCCACTGCGCCCAGGAACCGTCTGCCCCCGTGATCCATCTGCCAACGCCCTTTTTTCAGCCTGGCGTGTCCTGCTATGTGACGGTCAAGCCCCTGGCCCCGTATCCCTTGGGGATCCTATAAGGGGAAACGGGGTGCAGACCAACACGGCTTACACACACTTGGTCCTCGGAGTTTCAACGCTTCGCTCAGTGACCCTTCCAAGTTACAGCGGCCACGGAGAACAAGTTGACTTAGGAGTGTGTTTTTCCACACACACACACCCCACACACACTTAACAACTGTCGTAGCATTTTGTTTCACGGTGATGAAATTCAGACTGGCTCGTTTTTATGACGGTTGCTATGGCACCTCCTGACAAGCCAAGTCAATGGGGAAGCCGGATTCACTTAACGACGACGTGACTCCATTGAAGAAAATGCAGCCGTTCCCTTAAGAAACGTGGCAGGAAATGTCATAAAACAGGGTTAAAACCTCGCTTGACACACGTTTCCCTTGGCAACCCAAATTTTGGGCTCGATTCTGATCGTATCTCGAGGACCACCTGTTACGGAATGATCTTTCTCTCTCTCTCTCTTCCTTTGGTTTTCAAGGAGAGGCTTTGGCCCAATTGCCGGGCATGATGCTCGTAAAATTTGGGGTTCAGCAGGCGCCCGATCGGCCTTGCCCTCCCTCGTCGAGCCCTCCTGAGGCCATCTAGTCCTTCCTTCGTCTGCCACACTTGCTTTGCTTGCCACTATGTGTTAACCCAGAGCTGGGTTAACAGTGCACATTCTCAGGTGACTTTTTTGGGCCAAGATTTCCCGCGGGGTCATTGCTCAACGCTTTGATTATGTGACACCAAGTCAGCAATGACTCTTACGGATCAACTAGAGCAGCAACCTTGGCCCCGCTTAAAGACCGGTGGACTTTAACTCCCAGAATTCCCCAGCCAGTTATGCCCAGGCTGGCTTAAGCAGGGGGCTGGACTAATTGACCTCCAAGGTCCCTATGCTAGGCTGGCTGGAGAATCCTGGGAGTTGCAATCCACCGGTCTTAAAGTGGCCAAGTTTGGAGACCTCTGAATTAGGCGTAAGACTTGTGGACATATTCAATACCTATGTGTATGTTTGCTAAATGTAACAAATGTGATTAAAAATACTTAATTTGTATTAAAATCTATGACATGTAGAATGTGGTGACTGACATAAGAACATATTGAACTATTGAATTATCAAATCAAGGGGGAATGTAAGTTGAACATTATTATTGGAATGATACAAGCTTGCTCAATGCATATTATTAATAATAGTTTATTGATTTGTATTAAAAGGTATGAGAATTGGGGGCTTGGTATGAAAATAACACATTGGAATGCTGA